ATTACCGATTAAATAGAAACCCTTAAGTGAGGTGCGAAACAAACTGGCGGAGGTTTTCTTATATTTTATAAGGGACATTTTTATTTTTCATATTCTGTGTTTAAAAATTTACCTCTGAAAAATGCAGAGCTGATTTAAAGGACAATTTAAGAAATAAAGGAAAAAAGGCGTCCTTTATTTTGAAAAAAAAAAATTATATAGGACAGGGGGTTAAAATAAAGGACTGTCCTTTAAAATAAAGGACGGATGGTCACCGTAACCATATGTCGCTGTTTGCATTAGTCACAAATGTCCAAGGCGATAGTGGCGAGCAGTCGCTAATGAACAGTTGTTGTTGTTTATCTTTTGTGATTGTGTGTTACTTGCATTTACAGCTGGTGGCAGATACAGAATAGGAAATTCCTAATTTTCACGTCACAATGTCGAACGAACGAACGAACGCACCATACCATCCAAGGCGGAGTCGTCAATACACCAGCAGCAGAAACTTCCAACAGCCGCAACCAAGTCTACTTGCCACGTTGAATGGCAGATTGCGAGGAGAGAATGACGAAAAGTGGCACATTGCATAATTTGCAAAGCAAAAAAGTGCGCACGCATACGCTAGAAAACGCAAGCGAAGCAAACAAGATTCCCGGCGAAGATAAGTAGCGGAACCAGCGTCACAGCATACAAGTGCAACAACAAGCAAATGATGATTGAAAATGAGCTCAACTCTTATGCGCAGCCGCAGCCGCAGCCGCAGCTTTCCAGTAGTTGCAAAACAGCTATTCGGGATGGATGGTCTAATGCATTTCCTTACTGCATTCACCTCGCAAATTAACGACCAACTATCAATTAATATCTTGACATGACATCGTATGCCCATCCCTTGGGCCCCCTCTCTGCTACGACGTTAGGTACGTAGAGCCCCGCCCCCTCTGCTTGTGCTTTCGCCGGCATTACCAGTGATGCCAGATTGTGGATAATTTCCCTATTTGAGGGATATTGTGCAACAAAAATTATTAAAAGGGAAATAGGGACATTTCAAATAAAAAAGAGATTTTCTTTTGACGCAGTTATCGATGCGTAGTTGATCAAAATTCATAAATATTCGACACCCTTACGTAATTAATCGTCCTGAAGATGTGATGTGGAGTGAAGTGATATATCGCTAGCTTAGAAAGAAAAGTTGCTAAGTCCCATTTTAAAAATTTTACAGGAGAGGAAAAAATCTTCCTATAGCCATTTTCTTTAACTATTTCGCCAGACTTTGAATCAAACATTTTGCGCGTTTAAAGCAAAGCAAAACTCCATAAGAATCAGAAGGATTCGATATTTACTAAAAGATGTCGTATTATTTTGGCCTTATCGGATTTGTGGTGCTTCTTTTGGACTTAGCAAATTTTCGTTTTATTGCTTATGAAGAGGGAAAAAAATTCCTTTATAATTTTCGAAACGATACGTATTAAATTTCTCTAGCCTCCTATATCAAAATATGAGTTTTCATAAAAAGTGGACTTAGCAACTTTTCACTCTAAGCTAGCGATATATATAATTATTAAAAATCATAAGGACAATTTTGAAAATTTTCTCACGTTAACCAATTCAAGCGCTGAGTAAGAAATAATCTTTTCAATTGTAACTGGTGTTTTATGTAAAAAGCGGAACAAATTATCTTAAGAAATGTTAAATAGCGCATGAATGTTCTTCAATTTTGAAATCACCAAAAAATCACAGGGATAGTTTTAAGAATTGCCAGTAAGTATACAACAATAATAAAAACACAAATGTTCATAAATATGTATGTATGCATTAGTTACCTAAATATGGAAAAAAGTTTCTTCAAAATCTTAGGTTGTAATAAATAACTGAAGCTAATTTATAAATGTAGTAGATGTTTTTCAACTCTTTTAGGCCCTTAGTGAGTAATCTACCGACCTTCGAATTTCGAAATAATAGTACATATATGTGCCGTGCGGTGTAGTGGTAAGCAGTGCGCGCTTCCACTCCGCAGGGCCTGGGTTCAAGCCCTCCCTGGTCAAAGCAACATCGCAAAAAAATATAGAAAAAAGGTTTTTTCTTAATATCGGTCGTCGCTCGGCAGGCAATGGCAAACCTCCGAGTGTATGTCTGCCATGAAAGACAGCGTCTCATAAAAATACACTCGCCGATCGGAGTCGTCGTAAAACTGTAGGTCCCTCTTGGCAACATCAGGCGCATGCCACAAATCGGAGGAGAAGCTCGGCCAAACACTAACATATGTGTAAGCGCCAATCTAACATTATTATTTTTTTATGAATGGTACTTCATTTACTACTGAAATATGTACAAATGTATATGTTTTGAATTCTTTGGGAATTTTGTGGGATTTTTTTCCGATTTTCGTGGGATGTTTAACAGAGAATGTCTGGCATCACTGTGCATTACCAGATTTTCGAGAGTTACGAATAATTAAGGAACCACTCTGCTACGTGCAAGAGTGCAGCTAACCGCTCAATGGCATAGCTGCAAGAATATTTGCTGGTAAATCAGCAGTTGCATTGAAAATTTGCAGATTTGGGTATTGCCAATAAAACTCTAATAGCCAAAATGAGAGAAATAAAAAGCTAACGGTTGGACATACATACATACATATATACATATCTATATGCAATTATTTTATTTTATTTTTATCAACGTGAGTGTCATATTTCGAGGTAATATGCATAAATATGTATGCACATATGTACATATGTATTGATATGAACATACCGTGTGAGTTCATTAGGTTTCCAGAGTTTTCTTTTACTGAAATTCGATATAATTATACTCATGTATATATATGTACATACATATATGCCGTGTATTTCGCTTAGATGCATTTTTCGCTTACGTGCACAATTTTGCCAAAATATGTTCTATTTTAGCTTTGTCCCGTTTTCTAAACGGCTGTCTTGGCATTTCATTTTCAAAATGGCGTCAAGCCAATCAAATCGTTAGTTAGATTGGCCCATTCAAATCCCTAAAACAATTGAAAATAAGATAATAATACTAGGTCCATTCCTTATCTTTTCGGCCTAAAATCTGAAAAGTGTCAAAATGCAAGAGCGTAAGCAAAATGCGCTCACTAAAAGAGAATAAAACCAAATTTTTAGTCCAAAGAATGGCAACAACAAAACTAACGTCAAATAAGAATAGAAATGTATGTACGAAACCCATTCATTCACACAAGCTCAAGCACAATAACCATTTACTATATCAATTATTTTTTGCCTCCTTCCACTTTCAACTCACTTTTTTTACTTTTTAGATTATTCTCACTTTTTGAGTATTCTTTAATTTCCGTTAATTTTAATTCAGTTGAGTTTGACACTTTTCAAGATTTTGCCAGCAAAAATTCTTCTGACTAAATCTGACTACATACTTCGGACGAGACGAGAGTCACTCTCACTGAGTGTTAACTCTAAATGCATACAATGCAAATGCCGCAGTTAACTGAAACTTCACGCGTCAAGCGTAATCTTGGGGTGACCTTACGTACGGGGTTTTGCATTATCGTAATACGCGGTGGTTTCGTACTTTAAACGACGATATGTATGTTTTACCTAAAGTTGGGCAGTATCAATACCAAAAGTACTCAGAACTCGATTCTAAAAAGGATCGACAACACCCGATTTTTAAAAGTATCGATACTGAGTACTCCAAAGAGCTCAGTACTCACAAAACAACTCGAAAGTACTCAGTACTCAAAAATACTCTGTTCCAATAATCGCTTTGATATATGTACTCAGGATCGATTCAAAGTACTCAGTATTAAGTGTCGAATAGACTTAAAAAAGTAGGTACTGAATTTTATTTATATTTACCGGTATTCAGAAATGATTGTACTCAATTTGCAATTTCAATCATTTTCAAGTGCAATACTTGTACCCAGTACAGTTATGCCGAATTTCCACTAGGCATTGAAATGACAAAAAATTTATATCATTTAAAAAAATGCCATGTGGAAATGAACTTAATGATTATTTTTGAATGTAATGACACGATTATTTTTTAATGCCCGACTTTGTCATTCGTCATTTTTGCCATTTAAGGCCTAGTGGAAATCAAGCATTAGCCATTCATTTGACGTTATTTGGGAATCATATATTAATTTGAATTAAATACTGCCAGCTTGTGAAATTTCTACGCTAAGTATTTAAATGTTACCAACATGTGTATATTTAAAGAAAGTACTCAGTACTCTGAAAAATACCCGATCCTTAAAAGTACACTAGTTTTAATAGTGAAAAATTCGCGGTTTCCACCTGACCCAACTTTTTGCACAGAATCTATAGAAGGTGTAGATGTCAGGTCACAGAATGGGTTTTGTGCGAAAATTCCACTTTCAGCAGCATTTACGCTTAGCGAAAAACGTATAGGCACAATAAAATTGTAGGGAATCGAATTCTAAACAAATTTGTTTACCTTTTTTCGCGGGAAATGCAAAATTAGCGCGCAAATCGTAAAAAACACAAAATCCAAAATGGCGGACATTTCCCATATCGCGATTGGGGGAAAATTTTCATTTTGTGTTCACCTAAATAGGAGACACCTAACTGCGTAAAAAAATTTCTTCCCGGAATTTTTTCGTTGAAAAAATCTATAGTGATTGGGCTAGGAATGGTAGATTCTGTCGGGAAGCTGGCTTTAGTAGAATGCACCATTCCCTTTGTTCTTTAAACGACCATAATTTTCTGATAAGACTTAATAAGAATATTGACTTGCTAGTATCGGAACTATTTCTTGCGCGTTTATTCGCCAAAGGTCTTCAACGGCTCGGCGCCAGTGAGTCATTCGCAATCGCAATCGCACACTGCGAATGCTGCATTATACATACTACTAAAGCCAGTTTCCCGACATAAGCCATACGAACACAGATATGTATGTAATGTAACATTATAAATTCGCAATGCGGTATTTCGCAAAAACAATACCGTCTGTATGTTCTGGAACACCCTAATGTACTCATAGATATATGAGAGTAAACATGTGCTTACCTTCAAACTGTTGTAAGGACGTTCTATCCTTAGCTTGGCTTTGATTACGTCGCGACTCTCGGCCTTTTCATCATCCGGTGGCAGTGAGGTCATCGATACCGATGTCTTCATGTTGGCTGCTCCGCTGGCTGGGTTAGGCGCTGCTGCTGCTGTGGTGGCATTGTCCTGGCTTCGAGTGCCGTTCGTTACGACTCTGGCGATAGAGTTGGCTCCGCTTTTCTTGCTGTTGCTGTTGTCATTGTTGCGTGCTTCGTTTTCCTTGCGTTTTTTAGAGCTCTTATTGCGTTTCTTTTTGGCACTGGTACCAGGCTCACCACCCGCCCCATTCGTGGTTCCGATCGCCTTGGCTTTGGGTATAGCTGGTACTATGAATTCGCTCAACTTGGATGTGGATTTCGTTGCTTTTAGCTCGTCTGCAGTTACTGTGGCAGCTACTAAAGTCTTAGTTATGGTGGTTGTAGTTGTAGTTGTTGTGTTTGTTTTTGTATTTGTGTTTGGATTTGTGTCTGGAGGTGTCGCTGTGCTCATCATCGTCGCATCAGCGTCCACCATGGCCACTTTTTCAGTCTCTTCGTTACTGTTAGCCACCGTTTCCGCCGCCACTTTAGGTGCTTTTCCGTTTGGCTCCCCCCCATCGACTCTGGCGGTAATTGGTGGCATTATTTCGTCTATGGATCTTGTTGTTGTGTTCCATTTTTCATCGCCGCTATTTTCACTAGTATCAGTACTTTGGCGTTTGCCTTCAATTCCATGCTCGTTTTCTATTTCGTTTATGTTTTCATTTTTGTTTTTGCCTAGATTTGCATTTCCTATTTGCAACAGTTGTTGAGGTTGCTGCACTCCAATCGTTGGCTCTTCCATTTTCGAAGACTCCATTTTCAATTCTTAACATACGCACTAATTTTTCCAAAAGCTATTGTTGTTTTCCAAAGCTTAACAAGACTTGAAATTCGCCAGTCCTCTTTTTATTGCCCAAATACTTCTGTGACCTCAATCTGGAAAAATAAGAACATTCATTAAATTCTTGGAAAAACAAATGCGGTCGTATGACGCAAGACCGTTTTAACTTCAATGGAAAGCGAAAGCCTTGGATAAAATATCTACATACATACATACATCTATGGTCCCAGAATGATAGAATACAAGATTGCGCCTAGAAAAGAGGTGCAGTTGTGGCAGAGAAATGTCAAAACGCGAACAAGAATGCTAGAGGAAATATAAATTTGGCAAGAAAAACGTAAACAAACAAGTAAGATGTTGCACACAAGTGTGACGTAACTAGCGCTACAAGAGAGGGCGCATTCAGCAGTACCGCTACTTGGTTCTTGGCGAATTCGACATAATCAGCTGTTCATGTGACGTCATCACAGAAATGACGGCGCTATGTTTGTTCTCGTACGGATAGTTAGTAATAATTATTACTAGTTTTTGCTGATTAACCTTTTTTACCATTAAAAAAAAAATGCAGAAACAATCTGCTAAGAATTCGCGTCACTAATTTCTACTGGCTTAGTGTTTCTTTATTTTTTCTTTATTTCGCAATTTCTGGGCGTAATATCAAATTTTTTTTTTCAATCTCCAATTTTCTTTTCAAAAAGTACAGAACTACGATTTGTTCACAAATGACAGCTGCCGCCATTTTTTCTCTCCTTCATCTCGCCTATTCGTTGCGATCGCGATGTCACCACACGCAGGAATGCGCAATCTTGTATTCCATCATTCTTGGGCTATGGTCAAAGATTTAGCACCAGAATGATATTGTTTGCAGATTGTGTTTATTTATTTATTTTTATTAATTTGCATTAAAATTGTAATTAAATTTATAACAGAAACCACACAAATAAAAGTTCCAAAACTTTTTGCAAACTTGCACAGAAATTAATCAAAACTGAAAAAATTGTCATCAAAATTTCAAACTTTTTAATCAGAATTAAAAAAAAAAATCGTTTTGTAGCCCTTTCAATTTTAGTGTAATAAAGTACCGTTGATTTTTTAAAATTGTGTTTGTCGAGGTTGCTCAACATTTTCTTCCATATAAAAATAGATTTTGCTTGGGTGAGTCGCAAAGTGAGAGGAAAAAAGTGTATTGGCACAGCGAATTTTGCACAATAATGCACAAGTTTTATTCTAATATTTTTCCGCTAATTTTTTATGAAAATATGGTTCATTCTACAACAAAAAAACATAAAAATATAATTTCTAAACTTTGTGCAAAACTCGCGAAAATTCAATAAAATTTTCATGCAAATTTTAAACTTTTTAATCAGGTTTTTTCGAATTTTCTTGAGTATGCAGTTTGGAGTGAGAATTTTTTTTGTTGAAGGTGTTTTGCATTTGTTCCATATAAAGTATTTTCCAAACATTTTTTTGTATGGAAGGGACTGCGTGAAAGAAAATGCCAAAAAGCAAAGATAATTCGTAGCTTCTTAGAACTTCTACTTTATTATAATAAAATTGATTGGGCTACAAATCGCTGAATTTTCGCGAGTTTTGCACAAAGTTTGGAAATTATATTTATATATTTTTTTTGTTATGGAATGAACAATATTTTTATAAAAAATTGTCCGAAAAATATTACGATGAAAATTTTTGCATATATTGTGCAAATACTTTTTTTACATTCCAAGGAGGTATTATGGGTACGGTGACCATATTTCTGTGGGCAAAAATCGGGACATTTCTAAAGCATCGAATCGAAACATGCAATTTTAAAGTAGAAAATCGGTACGAATGGTCACTGTAATTATGGGTGGAAAATATTTTGGGAAATATTCCAAATAAACCTTCTCTTTCATTACTTTTCCCATTTCTTTATAACCGAACTTCAAATCCACTTAACAAAGCCTTAAAGCTCAGTTAGTCGTCTAGACTTAATTTCCGTAACTTAACCAACTTATATTTTAGCCAAGTATGAGAAACTGTGTTGGCGGTAAGTTAAAACTTAACTTAACGTAAGCAACTTATATTCTTAAGTTACGGCCATACGGAAATTGAGAACGGTGAGAGCTTGCCAGATTTTTGTTTTTGTATTTCTCAAAAATAATTCTATGCAAAAATATTTTTTTTTTTCATGCATTTTTTTGATGTGGCATTTTAGGCGGCAAACTCTAAAGAGCTAAAAAAGAAAATACAAAAACAAAATATTTCCGCTTCTGGCTTAAGTCGACGTGTTGAGTAATCATTGATGATTTCTTGCGGTAAGTTAAATTAAGTTAAGTCAAGACTAACTGACTCTGCCGAACAGTTGCCGCAGTGAAATCCGTTAGAGTAAACACAATTGCGGCACACGACGGCTTCCGTCAGTTGTAATTTTGTTTTGAAAATTATCATTAAAATTAAACAAATTTTTCGGTACGTGGAAATAAAAATTGATGACAGCATTGGAAAACTTGTGAAAATAACAAAAATTACTATCCCCGCTGGGTGGTAAAAATAGAAATAAATTTAGATCAACCGAAAAATGTCTGCGGAAAAAACGCTGCCGCCGCAATTAGGAGCCATTCCATATGCCTTTGTGAGTTTTAATTTTGACAGCGGTTAACCGTGGACCGCTTTGCCGTCGTCCGCTGCAATTCTGGGCAGAGCTTTAGGAAATAATTCTCAGCCTATTAAAGTATTATATGGATGTTTTTAAAATTCAGAAACTTTCTCATTATCAAATAAAAAAAAAAATGTCGCGTTTATAGTTTTCTTGAGGTGGAATGCCAAACAAACAAAGGTCCTCATAGAAAATAAATTTTATAAAAATATATCTCCCACTGAGACTGTTACTGAATTTGAAAGAAGGGGCGCATTGTATTTAGGTGTGTACTCGTGTTGAGCGAACAAAATTATCCAGCAGCAAAAATTCTGAAAATTTAGCAGCATTCGCTCTCAAAGCGACAAAATACTTACATATCTACAGAAGTACGGGAACGCAAAATTTGCAAAAACTGGCAACCTTCGAAACAGCTGATCACTTCCACAGTTGCCACTGGTGGTTCATTATTTTCTTTACTTTTAGATAAGAAACCCTTTTTAAAATACAAATTAATTGTATCGGAATGAATAAGTTATGTTTCTAAAAATTATTTGTGATAACCCATCATTGATCCAGAAAAATTTAATAGGTATAGCTACAAATGCAGCTTTAAAATTATAAAATTTTCATTTCAACAATCAACCTACTAAAACCGACAACTTCAGCAAAAAAAAAAAAAACATTTCAGCATTTGCACTTTAATTTATTTTGGTATATTTAAAGGAAAATTATGGTAACAAGCTGGAGCTTAATAGTAAATCAACGAAAACTAAACTCAAGAAACGTTGTGCCTAATAAATTTACTCACTTTTTCATTGTATATGTACTAGCATTAATAATAAAATTTGCAATAAACAACTCAAAAAGGCCATATTTTCTTTTGTTTATTTACAAACATGTGTTTGTGTGTGATCAGCTGATTTTCTTACTTGCAAGTTTTCGCTGGTACAAATTTTTTCAGCAGAAATTTGCAGCTCTCTATCACATTTTTCTCTCTCAATTTCCCCTACTTTGCAAGGTTTTTGGCTACGACAACGCAAAACCAGTAAAAGTTTTCTAAAACTTTTGATAGTTTTGGGTACGAGTACACTCCTTATATATGTATGCATGCATATGTATTGCAATTANCAACGCAAAACCAGTAAAAGTTTTCTAAAACTTTTGATAGTTTTGGGTACAAGTACACTCCTTATATATGTATGCATGCATATGTGTGTATGTATGTATGGTCATTAGGCATATGACTTTTCTAACTTTGTTTAGAAAAAATAAATCCACATGGTAAAAAACCTTCCTCAGATAAAACTGAAATTTTTCTATATCTTTAAATCCGTTCTATTTTCATTAAATTTGATTCCATATTCGGATTCAGGAGGAAATTTTACATGTGAAGTGATGGTCAATTGGCTAAAATCAGAATTACATTAACCTAGTATCATCATATCTTTTTTGGAAAAACTGGACAAAAAGAATTACCACGACAAGGCTGACTAACATGCTCAAGGAATTTTTTTAAATGTCAAAAAATTAGCTGCTGAATTAGTTGTCATAGTAACTACTACTATCGTCGACCTAGAGGCGTTATTATATTTTATTTATTATTATTGCTATCTTGCCAAAGTTTAAAGCTCAATTGCTTCCGGTCTGTCAATTTATATGCGGTGCATGGTATAATATTGGGTTCTGCTTTTATAAAAATGATTTTGCGTTCTTTGCGTCCTTCAGTTTAGAGAAGTACACAACTGTTTTTTAAGACACTGGGTAAAATGGGAATCCGCTATTGGTAACCAGGAGGGCAGTAATATCTGTGCGGAACGAACAATAAATGTGGTTGAGGATGTAGTTTATACCTGAAAACCCACGCGTACTTTGAATTTAAAATTAATATCTTTATTAATGTGTATTTCTAATAATTGGAAATAAATTTAATAAAACTGAAGTGGACAGTTAGTTTAAAAATAGTGTTTCCTGAGGGAGGTTTTTTTGACAAATCGACACAAAAACATTATTTTGGTTGTTTTTTCCATGATTTCTTAGCATCGAATAGTAGGTAGAAATTTTCGCAAAAAAAACAGTCATATGCCTAATGTATATATGTATGTTATTTAGTAAACGGGCAGTGCAGGGATAGTTGCCCTCGAACTGCCTCCTTTCAAATGGCTTCTTCATTAGTACTCGTCGTTTTTCTTCTTGTTGTTTGGAATTGTTTGCTTTTCTTGATGCAAAGAAAACTCAAAACCACGCCGCGGTTAACTTTGTGGCCCAAATTCCAAATCGCAGCGACAATAAGACGCTTAACAAATTACGGTCACTTCGCAGCGGAGGGGAGAAAACTATCAGGGTATAAAGCATAACGGACAATATGAAAGGAAGGTATTGGAGAAGCAAAGGCATTGAACGAGGGATGACGCAATAATTCTGAGACTGGAGTGTTGCGATAAAAGACAACAATTCTAGAAAAAAGTGGTTTCAATA